GTGAGTGTGGTGAGTGGGTGACTGTGGTGAGTGTGGTGAGGTTGGTGAGTGTGGTGAGTGTGGTGAGTGTGGTGAGGTTGGTGATTGTGGTGAGTGTGGTGAGTGTGGTGAGTGTGGTGTGTGTGGTGAGTGTGGTGAGTGTGGTGAGGTTGGTGAGTGTGGTGAGTGTGGTGAGGTTGGTGAGTGTGGTGAGTGTGGTGAGTGTGGTGAGTGTGGTGAGGTTGGTGAGTGTGGTGAGGTTGGTGAGTGTGGTGAGTGTGGTGAGGTTGGTGAGCGTGGTGAGCGTGGTGAGGTTGGTCAGTGTGGTGAGTGTGGTGAGTGTGGTGAGGTTGGTGAGTGTGGTGAGTGTGGTGAGTGTGGTGAGTGTAGGGGAGCTTGGTGAGTGTGGTGAGTGTGGTGAGTGTGGTGAGGTTGGTGAGTGTGGTGAGTGTGGTGAGTGTGGTGAGGTTGGTGATTGTGGTGAGTGTGGTGAGTGTGGTGAGTGTGGTGAGGTTGGTGAGTGTGGTGAGTGTGGTGAGGTTGGTGAGCGTGGTGAGTGTGGTGAGTGTAGGGGAGCTTGGTGAGTGTGGTGAGTGTGGTGAGTGTGGTGAGTGTGGTGAGGTTGGTGAGTGTGGTGAGTGTGGTGAGTGTGGTGAGGTTGGTGATTGTGGTGAGTGTGGTGAGTGTGGTGAGTGTGGTGAGCGTGGTGTGTGTGGTGAGTGTGGTGAGTGTGGTGAGTGTGGTGAGGTTGGTGAGTGTGGTGAGTGTGGTGAGGTTGGTGAGTGTGGTGAGTGTGGTGAGGTTGGTGAGTGTGGTGAGGTTGGTGAGTGTGGTGAGTGTGGTGAGGTTGGTGAGCGTGGTGAGCGTGGTGAGGTTGGTGAGTGTGGTGAGTGTGGTGAGTGTGGTGAGGTTGGTGAGTGTGGTGAGTGTGGTGAGGTTGGTGAGTGTGGTGAGTGTAGGGGAGCTTGGTGAGTGTGGTGAGTGTGGTGAGTGTGGTGAGTGTGGTGAGGTTGGTGAGTGTGGTGAGTGTGGTGAGTGTGGTGAGGTTGGTGATTGTGGTGAGTGTGGTCAGTGTGGTGAGTGTGGTGAGGTTGGTGAGTGTGGTGAGTGTGGTGAGGTTGGTGAGTGTGGTGAGTGTGGTGAGTGTGGTGAGTGTAGGGGAGCTTGGTGAGTGTGGTGAGTGTGGTGAGTGTGGTGAGGTTGGTGAGTGTGGTGAGTGTGGTGAGGTTGGTGAGTGTGGTGAGTGTGGTGAGGTTGGTGAGTGTGGTGAGTGTGGTGAGTGTGGTGAGGTTGGTGAGTGTGGTGAGTGTGGTGAGGTTGGTGAGTGTGGTGAGTGTGGTGAGTGTAGGGGAGCTTGGTGAGTGTGGTGAGTGTGGTGAGTGTGGTGAGTGTGGTGAGGTTGGTGAGTGTGGTGAGTGTGGTGAGGTTGGTGAGTGTGGTGAGTGTGGTGAGGTTGGTGAGCGTGGTGAGTGTGGTGAGGTTGGTGAGGTTGGTGAGTGTGAGCGTGGTGAGTGTGGTGTGTGTGGTGTGTGTGGTGAGTGTGGTGAGCGTGGTGAGGTTGGTGAGTGTGGTGAGTGTGGTGAGTGTGGTGAGGTTGGTGAGTGTGGTGAGTGTGGTGAGGTTGGTGAGTGTGGTGAGTGTAGGGGAGCTTGGTTAGTGTGGTGAGTGTGGTGAGTGTGGTGAGGTTGGTGAGTGTGGTGAGTGTGGTGAGGTTGGTGAGTGTGGTGAGTGTGGTGAGGTTGGTGAGCGTGGTGAGCGTGGTGAGGTTGGTGAGTGTGGTGAGTGTGGTGAGTGTGGTGAGGTTGGTGAGTGTGGTGAGTGTGGTGAGGTTGGTGAGTGTGGTGAGTGTGGTGAGTGTGGTGAGCGTGGTGAGCGTGGTGAGCGTGGTGAGTGTGGTGAGTGTGGTGAGTGTGGTGAGTGTGGTGAGCGTGGTGAGCGTGGTGAGTGTGGTGAGTGTGGTGAGTGTGGTGAGTGTGGTGAGTGTGGTGAGTGTGGTGAGGTTGGTGAGTGTGGTGAGTGTGGTGAGGTTGGTGAGTGTGGTGAGTGTGGTGAGGTTGGTGAGCGTGGTGAGCGTGGTGAGGTTGGTGAGTGTGGTGAGTGTGGTGAGTGTGGTGAGTGTGGTGAGGTTGGTGAGTGTGGTGAGTGTGGTGAGGTTGGTGAGTGTGGTGAGTGTGGTGAGTGTGGTGAGTGTGGTGAGTGTGGTGAGTGTGGTGAATGTGGTGTAGCGGCTACAGCCACGGACACGGTCACAAACCCGCACGCATGTCACACACACACACACACGTGTCACACACACACACGTGTCACACACACACACGTGTCACACACACACACGTGTCACACACACACGTGTTACACACACACACACGTGTCACACACACGCGTGTCACACCCACACACACACACGTGTCACACACACACACGTGTGTGTGTGTGTGGGGTTCTGGGAATTGGTCTCTGGCGATCCGCGTCGTTCTAATCTCCTCCTACACTTGTACACTTGGGGGAGCCTCATTAATTCACGAGGGTGGGGGGCCATTGTGACCCCCCCCCCCTCCCGCCCCCGAGAGAGAAAGACAAAGATCCCCCGTGTAGCCTCTAACGGACTGTCGGGACAAGTGCTGCGGGTAGCGAGTAGCAGCAGCAGCACCTGACAAGGCTACCGGCACCGTGGCACACGAGGGGTGGGTGGTCAGCGCCACGCCCGGCCGCCTTTGTCTCCCCGGTTCAGATAATTGTCTGTGGGCGTTGACCACCGTGAGAGGGAATCGAACCCAGGGCTCTCCCGGGGTGCGTAGCGCAGTGCGGCACTAACAAACTAAACACAACAACAAACAACAACAAACTAAACACAACAACAACAACAAACTAAACACAACAACAACAAACTAAACTAAACACAACAACAACAAACTAAACACAACAACAACAACACGCAGTTGTAGAGAGAGATGAGTTTGTGAATGTCGATGACGATGACGACGTCAAAGTGCATCGTAGCTCCCAGGGGCATCCAATTGTCGGTCAGGAAGAGCGTTCCAGACGGCCGCAGGAGCAGCAGCGCATCTGAAAGCGTCGCGCGATGACGACGACGATGATGATGATGACGACGATTAAGATGACGATGATGATGATGACGATGATGGTTACGACGATGATGATTACGATCATGATGATGATGATGACAATGATGATGATGATGAGGACGACGATGCGGTGACCACCGTCTTTGTGCGATGGCCGAGCCAGAAGCTGCTACTGTGAGGATGACCACCTGAGTTGGCGGTGTGGTGGCGGTGGTGGTGGTGGTGGCGGTGGTGGTGGTGATTATAGTGGTGGTGGCGGTGATTGTAATGTTAGTGGTGATTGTGGTGGTGGTGATTGTCCTGGTGGTGGTGGTGGGTTGTAGTGATCGGAAGGCATGGGCCAGATCAGCTCACTAATAACGGAATGAAGCTGCTAGACTCCTGTGCAGCCCATGGGCTTGTAATTACCAACACGCTGCTCTGGCATCGGCGCATCCACACAACATCATGGATGCATGCCGGGTCCAAGCAAGAACATCTGCTGGATTATATAGTGACGGAACAGCGGATGCGGGCCTATGTCCTTGACACCAGGACCTTCCGTGGAGCTGATCTGCCTACTGACCATCGACTTGTCATCTGTAAGATGCGCCTGCCATTCTTCCACTCCGGTGGTGGGTGTACACCCAGGACCCCATTCAAACCCACAGTGGCCTGGTCTCAGCTAGCTGATGGAAGTTGCAAGGGAAAATGTCATCATTGCTTGTGGCTGGGGTTGGCATCGTCCCAACTCCCCCTGATGTCGAGGGTAAATGGGCGAAGGTTTAGGACTGTGACTCATGCAGCTGCAGCGGCTGCTTTGGGTACGCGGTCCAGACCTCCGCAGAGAACCTGGCTGAAGGAGGAGGTGTTCCGGCTGGTTGAGAGAAAGCGACAGGCCCACTCTCGTCGTCTACCACGTCCCACGTCAGAGAATGAGGAGGCTTACCGCAGCCTTCGCTCGGAGGTTCAGGAGAGCCGTGTGGCGCTGCAAGGATGGGTGGTGGAATCTGCGTCAGTCGCCCGCGATCACGCAAACAGTAACTCGCAGCACCTCACCGGTCACCATCCTTCAGGTAGAGAACGGTGATCCAACCTCCGACCCCCAGGAACAGGTCTGCATTTTTGTGAGGCCTTGGGGGGATGGGAATTCCCTCGGCCCAGACGTCACCACGGGGCGAGGTGGGGACGACCCTGCCAAGGCTGCCGTGCCTCACATATTGTCAGAGGTCTGTGGAAGAAGTGCTGAGAAGATCCAGAGTCTGAGACCACGACAACCGCCGGGCAGAGATGATCTCGCAAGCGACATGCTGACGGAGGGTGGCATCTGTGTGCAGAGTGCCCGACATGATTCCATAATATGTTATTTTGGTTATATCGAGTGAATATATAAAAGTTCCAATTCGTTACTCGTACAGCACCCTGGTGTGCTGTACGAGTAACGAATCGGCACGTTCTGTTTACGTGACAAACCTTAATAATTGGCTGTGGCGGGTTTAACTAAACTTTTATATATTTACGCGATCAACCCCAAAAAAAATATATTTTACGGATGATATTGGTCGCGAACGCCTACGTGTTACACTGCCCTACATGACATCATCACAACTGACTGGACCACAGGACAGGTTGCACAGGATTGGGAGGATGCCTAAGGGGGACCGCACGGACTGTAACAACTACAGGGGCATCTCACTCCTCGGTGTGCCGGGAAAGGTCCTGGCAAGGATTATTCAACATCGCCTTGCTAGGCACGCTGATGAGAGGCTTGCGGAGCCCCAATGCGGTTTCAGACCAGGGCGGTCCTGCACAGATGCCATATTCTCTGTCCGTCTGCTACAGCAGAGGTGTAGGGAATTCCAACAGGCCCTACGTCACTGCTTTATTGACCTGGTCAAGGCCTATGATACCATCTACAGGCTAGGCTGTTGGCAATTCTTCGTGCTTTCGGAGTCC